TTGAACTGCCAGCCTTCTGGTTAGCAGTCAAATGCCTTAGGCACTACGCTACCAGAGCTCCTGGGAATAATAGTAAGCTCTATATGTACATTAGCCATCATTATTGCTATTAGTATCATAAAGATAATAGGATAAGTTTTCCAGGTACAGGAAACAGCTGAGCCCAATTTTAAGGCATCTTCCTAAGTGCACTAAATGGGAGTGGCTGAATCCACTGAAATGCTTATTAAGGAAGAGAGTAAATAAAATGGTAAATAAACGATTATGGGAAAACATGCCTTCTCCAGGAGATTTCTCTTGTTTGCCCTAAATGGGGCTGGCCTCTGTACTTCTCTGTATCCCCTCTTACTAATGTTGTGGTTCCTTATTTTCTGTTCCATTAGGGTCCACTTTGGCCCATTATGGATTTTCATGCTCACTAGACACTGGGAAATGTAATGGCATCACGAAAAGGTGGCTGGCATCTGTGAGGTGGGATGCAGAAGTAGTGCTGCTGTGTTGGCTGAATGGTAGGAAAAGCCATGAGGTGAAGCTACTTCCAGGACTCTGGAGAGGCCACAAAAGCTCAAGGAAGATAAAGACAATAGGAATTTGTTGAGCATGGGTATCTAGGCTTATATTTTTGTGCCTTTTTTTTTTCCTAGTCTGAAAATGGAATGTCAGTCATACAAAGGTTACAGTCTACTCTAAGAATAAGTCATTTATTTATGTAAGTAGAATAAATTCTGAAGTTTAACAGTTACTTTTGCAAATCTCCTGGTTTCTTTTCATTGACGTATTTCTTGGTTCTTCAGTGTTGGTTCTAGATGGATTTGTGTCTCCATCCATGTGACATTTCACAAGTGTGACTTATTTCTGAGCTAACTCAAGAGAGGACAGGAAGCAGGCAGAGAAAGAAAGAAACACTGAAGTATGAGTTGAAGGATACTAGCTGGAAAGAGAATTTCTGCACTGATGAAAGTGTGGTGACCTTCTTTATAAAAGATTCAGTGGATCTGATTTGTCCCACATCAACTCCGCCATGCATGGCTGAGCAGGGACCTGGAAACTTGAGCCCTCCAGTGCTCTCAGTACATAGAACAGCCTCCAAGAGCCTGAGTAGGCTGGATCTCCCAGGTGGCCCTCAGCCTCCACTCTGTTTCTAGATCTACCCCATCAGCTCCAGTGGCTTCAGCTGCATATAAGTTTATCAGGAATGAATATTCTGAACCAAGCCGCCATGTTCTTACAGAAAAGTAACGTTTCCTAAGTGTTATTGCTACCATCAACCTTTTGAGATCACAACAGGATTTTTTTCCTCCCAAACAGGTCCGTGCTTACTATGGAGCATTTAAAGCTGTCAACAAGGCAAACAGTACCTCTGGGGAAATGGAAGACCTCCAAGCCTTGCGTTTCCTGTCTGTGATTTCAATTGTGGACCCTTGGATTTTCATAATTTTCAGAACGTCAGTATTCCGGAAGTTTTTTCACAAGATTTTTATAAGACCTCTCATGTATAGAAATTGTCACAGCAATTCCTGTGGAACTAACAAGGAATCCAGTCTGTAACCATGTTTTACACTCTCTGGTAAGCTGAAGAGTATATCACATTTTTGGTCAAAGAACCATGATTTAAAAAAAAAAAAAAAAAAAAGTCTCACTATTTAAATCCTTAAAAGTTATCTCCTGTAACAAAAGCATCCAAATGTATTTTTCAAAAATATCTGCTATATTTTAACAATGTGTTCTCACTCTAGATTCATGAACCAGTTCAATGCATTCTTTCATTTTGTGTCATTGACAACAACTATAATTTCAC